GGGTTGTTCATAAAACATTCAGGACGCCACAGTTTATTCCACACTACTGAAGCTGCTCCTCTTTTTGGAGCTACTGCAGAGTTGCTAATAATTTTGCTTTCAGCCATGCTTGTTGTTGCTGAGTAACAGTATGACGTCAGTATGTCAAGTCGAAATATTCTAGGTATCACAATATGAATTTATCATATGTTAAAAATTATACCGGTATTATCGTAAACAATATGATATGGCACACTCTTACTGCGCAGGTGCAGATCACTCACCATATAGTGTCAGAGCATTTGTTCCTGCCTTAATATGTGTAGGTTTTTTTGTTGTTATTGTCCTTATTTGACAGTGGAGTGAAGGTCCCCAGGGGAAATTGCATCTGGGACATTGAGGTTACTTGGCATTGTGCCTGAATCATTAGGTTTCCAGGATGGCCCTACTTGTGACAAGTAAAATTATTATTTATATTCGAATCAGTTTTATTGATTCAGCAATTTACTTCAGAAATATTGGGACATGAAAACAGATTAACACAATCTTGAAAAGGATTAATTTATCTTCTCATTTACAAACTTTCAGTTTTGTAGGGACTAAATCCACTGCCTATCCCCTGAATAACTGCTCTGTAGTATGTGTGGTAAAGATAGAGCCTTAGGATGAACTCTGTAAAGGTAATCCAATGTCACTGTGCATTATCCAGATCCCACAGTTCCTGCTAGATGAGTGCAGCAGGACTGGAGAACCCTGCAGGATCTTCTGCACTCAGCCCAGACGCCTGGCTGCCATTGCTGTGGCTGAGAGAGTGGCAGCTGAGAGAGGAGAGAGCGTGGGCCAGACTGTCGGTTATCACATCAGACTAGAGAGCAGGTAGATGAGACCACAGCCTTTTATTTTTGGTAGAAATACACCAGCACTTTTTATGTTAATAAGCTACACTTGAAACATCTAGTTGAATAAAGGGACGAGCTTCAGGAGCTGTCTGTCAGCATATCAAGCCAACTCAAGTCAGATTCCAGTTAATTAAAAAAAAAAAAAAAAAAAAAGCTTGCTCTAAAGGACTTTAAAAAATTGTACAGTACAAGAACAGACAGCCACACTTTCTCACACAGGCTGAGTTTCAAATTACATACTCATGTACTGCGTACTACATACTCAAACAGTATGTACTGCAGACTGCTTACGAAATTACAGGTTAAGTAGTAGTGAATGACCCGCTCTACCCTCTGAATTTGAATAGAACTATGCACATTGGAAACCAGTATTCTACACAAAGGCCTTTGGTCACTTTATCTAACAAAATGAGTAGAATCTTAGTGTTTTTGTAGGGGAACATCATTCCATATTTACTATGGAAATTTGGACACATTGAATTCCAGCTTCTGAATTATTATGTGTGGTTTGGAAACTGAATGTTTTCTGATTAAATTGAATTTCAGAAATTTCTGAGTTTTGAAATTTAAGTTCAGTTTTATGCACTAAACTTTTAAGTTTGTTCCCCAAATTTACTTTCAATCTTCAGAGACAAAGTCAACCAGTTCTTACTCACCAGTCAGATTGCGTGGAAGTGTGCACTCATAACACTGAACCGTTGCATACATAACGGATGCAAAATCAATTTTGCCTGCAGTGGGTGAGTAGGTTATATTGATAAAATGGCTGCATCCATTTCTTTTTAATACTTTTTATGTGAAATGTTGTAGAAAAAATTGGTACAATAAACTCTGTGCTTGTTTACTTTTCGGCAATATTGACAATTAAAAGTATGTCTGAACTTGATCTGTAATTGGATCTGCATTTGAAGAACTCTGTTGGGAATTTATTCTGCCACAGCAGTTCACCTGGGGAGTTAAAGGTTTTTTTATATTTTAAATTTAATATCAAATACTCAGATCCTCCTCAAAGCTCTGCTGGCACAAATACAGTCTGCACAGTTGTCACCTTGTCAGATATTCAGAACTACTGACATCTAAAAACTTTCATAAATTTGAAAGTTATGGTGCACTTGAATATTTTTGCAAATAATAGTTATTTTGTTAAATGTACAACTCTGTTATCAGAGACTTTATACGCACAGTATTCGTTCATGGAGATTTTATTTTTACCTTCCTAAATTCGGATTTTTTTTTCCATGCCTATTATGTGTCATTTCACTAGCATGGATCACATCACAAACAATACATGAGTACATATTGAATATTGAGCAGTGCCCTATGAAGTCCGTTTGAATTTTTTGCAGAGTCTGTTTTATATTTTTCCAAATTCTGTTTTATGATTTCAGCATATTTCATGAAAAGAAACTGTCTAAATCATGTGGTGGATGAATAGTTCCAACAAAAATATTCAAAATTGAATGGATATCAGTGAATTTAATGTAATACAACAATGAACTTTTTTTTAATCAAAGAAAGGTCTAATGTCTCATTCCTCAGTTTTTTGAAGGACTCAGAGGGACTCTTTAACATGACTGCAGGGTTCAACAATATTGTTCACTGTAAGGATTTGTGTCTTCTGCAACCCAACATCAAAGAATAAAGTAATTTTAGTGAGATTTTAGGTAACATGTTTTATATGTCCTGTAAATATAATCAAAATAGTCTTATTTCCATATTTACACTTAGTAAACACCTTATTTTGAAAAGTTTTTTTAAAGTGCATTTACAGGTCAGAATACAGAAACACTCAAACTGTAGTGACAGCTGGTTTGACCACGGAGATGGAGAGTCAGCTAGCTTGATGCAGAAACATCAGGTGCTGCCTCTCGACCTCTGGACCACCCAAGCAGCACAGGAGGACAGGATTTGACTTAGCTTGGCTGACTGAGAAAAAGGCTGCAGTCAAGCTAGCTGTCAGTCACATCTGCTTGGTCAAACCAGCCAACACTAAAGTTTGAGATAGACACAGGCAGAGCAGAGCAAAGTCTCTGTGACAACTGACAGCATTCTGTCAGTGTTGGCAGCAGGGCTGCCCCTGACCAAATTGTGGCCCTAAGCGAAATTTAATTTGGAATTTTATTTATAGCCTATCAATATATACGACCACCAACTGGTCATTTTAGCATTCCTTTTCTTCAGAGGTAAATGCACAGGACGTTAACAAGACATTCAATAGATGTTAATCAGGGCTGCTGAATCAGGGTTGCTGGAAAAAAAAAACATCTCCAGTCTAGACAGAGATTGGACACAGAGATTCCTATGTAATGATTAGCAGCTTAGGTGTTTGTACCACAAAGTTTTATTTCAACAACATACCCACCTTCAAGTGAAGCACGAGCTTCCTCTTGTTTTGCCTTTTTTTCCCCTCTTGCTCGCTCCTGACTCGTGATGTCTTTTGGACAACATGTCGACAACTCTTCACCTGCTGCAGCTCTGCAAGTGCCTGCCGGCGCACCCCTCTGATTGGTCAGATGTCGAGTGCTGTCAATCATTGCAGCGACGCATGCGCGGTCAGATTAGAGGTCTCTTCTCTCCTTCCTCAAGCTGATTCTACGCACGCCTCACGGTAGCGCATATGTGCATCTATTGCACATATGCGCAAATGCATCCCCTCGCGCAAAATGTGGCCCCCTATGGAAGATGAGGTCCTACGCACAGCACGTGTTCTGCGTTTAGGGAGGGGCGGCCCTGGTTGGCAGTGTTCTGTGTGTGTGTGTGTGTGTGTGTGTGTGTGTGTGTGTGTGTGTGTGTGTGTGTGTGTGTATAAGAGCTGAGTCCCACCCTTGGTAAAACACCAGTGCAGACAGCAGTGAGTCCATAATTGACCTAAAACATAGCAGCATAGTTTATTTGTTCATTAGTAGGGTTGGGAAAAGATTCCGATTCCCTATCGATTCCTACATGATATTCATTATACTTGCTATACGTAAACAGGTATATAATAAACACAAATGCAATCATACAAATACAAAAACTTTATGCTAACTGTTGCACAGTACAATTAGATGAAAATACACATTTGTGTATGGTGTGTATTTCAGATTTAGAGCTTGTATCATCTCCCTGAGAATATATAACAACAAAAAGTGATTCTCTGATTTCTACAGTAACACTATTACCTCAAATTTGTACTCGAACTCGTTGTCCTCCGCTTATCCGGGTCCGGGTCGCGGGGGCAGCAGCCTCAGCAAAGAAGCCCAGACAGTCCTCTCCCCCGCCACTTCCGTCAGCTCTTCCGTGGGAACCCCGAGGCGTTCCCAGGCCAGCCAGGCGATGTAATCCCTCCAGTGTGTCCTGGGGCGGCCCCGAGGTCTCCTCCCGGTTGGACATGCCCGAAACACCTCCCAAGGGAGGCGTCCGGAAGGCATCCTTACCAGATGCCCGAACCACCTCAACTGGCTTCTCTCGATGTGGAGGAGCAGCGGCTCTACTCCGAGTCCCTCCCGGATGTCCGAGCTCCTCACCCTATCTCTAAGGCTGAGCCCAGCCACCCTGCGGAGGAAACTCATTTCGGCCGCTTGTACTCGCGATCTCATTCTTTCGGTCACTACCCAGAGCTCGTGACCATAGGTGAGGGTTGGAACGTAGATCGGCCAGTAAATCCAGAGCTTTGCTTTCTGGCTAAGCTCCCTCTTCACCACAACGGACCGGTTAAGCGCCTGCATCACTGCTGACGCCGCCCCAATCCGCCTGTCAATCTCCCGCTCCATCCTACCCTCACTCGTGAACAAGATCCCGAGATACTTAAACTCCTCCACCTGAGGAAGGACCTCCCCCCTGACCTGGAGTGGGCAATCCACCCTTTTCCGGCTGAGGACCATGGCCTCAGACTTGGAGGTGCTGATTCTCATCCCAGCCGCTTCACACTCGGCTGCGAACCGACCCAGCAAGAGCTGGAGGTCACTGTTAGATGGAGCTAGGAGGACCACGTAATCCGCAAAAAGCAGGGAAGAGATCATCCCATCACCGAACCAGACACCCTCCACCACTCGGCTGCGCCTAGAAATTCTGTCCATAAAAGTTATAAACAGAACCGGTGACAAAGGGCAGCCTTGGCGGAGTCCAACCCTCACCGGGAACAGGTCCGACTTACTGCCAGCCACGCGAACCAGACTCATGCTCCTTCGGTACAGGGACTGGATGGCCCTTAGCAAGGGGCCACCAACCCCATACTCCCAGAGCACCCCCCACAGGATGCCCCTGGGGACACGGTCGTAAGCCTTCTCCAAAACCACAAAACACATGTGGACTGGTTGGGCAAACTCCCATGCCCCCTCCAGCACCCTGGCGAGGGTAAAGAGCTGGTCGACGGTTCCGCGTCCGGGATGAAAACCACATTGCTCCTCCTCAGTCTGAGTTACCTCAAATTAACCACAGCAATGTAATAAAAAATTCTTATATGCATTCATGCCTGGGCACTGTTATTTACGTGACAACACCTGAACATAACACACACAGACACACATTGGCTGTTTGTTTCTATCTCTCCCCTCCCTGGAAGCGGACCTCCCGCTGCCAGCCTCCGCCTTGATTAAACGCTGAAAATTAAATAAAAGAGGGAGACAAGTTTTCCTATTTTATCTTATTTTGTTATATTTCTCCCTCTCCCCTTGCTGGAAGCCTTGGACCTCCCGCCGCCCGCTCCCGTCTCAAACACGGAGGTCTCAATCTCCGCTGAGGACCCACGGCACACGCCCGGCCTGTTAAATAGCCTGTAACCACTGTGTGACACAAACTCAGTGATTAGATAATGTCGGGTTAGGTCGGGTTCAGACAGAAATATGCGGCCCGTGCCGCACTCTAACGGAAATGCATGTGACCTTTTTTTTTTTTGTTTGTTTGTTTTTTTACAATCTAGGAACCGTTTGCAGGAACCATTACGCCAAATGTGATGGAACCGGTTCCGGAACCGGAACTTTGGACCTGGTTCCAAAAAAGAACCGGATCCGGATCCCAACCCTATTCATTAGGCTTATGTGCTTTGAGTAAAACGCATATAATGGTAGGAAAACCCAGATGTTTAGAAATTCCATCCACAATTGCCAAATTCCACAATATTCCGTGTTTTACACTTCATTCCACTTTTGTTTTCAAATTCTGTGATTTTGTCCGTGTTTTCTGCATTTTGGAAATCATAGGGCGCACATGAGGTTTGGTGATTGGTCAGTTTAGGGTGGTTAGGAGTGGATTTACAGGTCAGATTATGTGTAAAGTGTGATAGAGATAGTTGTGTAAAGAATAACAAAACTAGAATTACCGCCCCCGGTTGTATGCCTCCAGGCACCAGTCAGGTTTCTCTTACAGTTTACATCCACATCTGTGAAAACATGGATGCTTCACACACATCTCCCCCTGACAGCAGAGAAGATCTATACAATCAGCACAGTTTCAAGATTAGTGTCACCAATTCAGTGTCTGACCAAATATTTCCCCTTCTGTTCCTGAGATATGACGTTGAGTAATGGCCAGAAAAGTGTTTTATGCAGAACATTACAATGCGACAGTGATGTTGACCTTTGACCTTTTGATACACAATGTCCTCATGTAATTATTTTGTCCTAGTAGACATTTGTGTGAAGTTTTGTCATAATTAGTATATGAATTTTTGAGTTATGGCCAAAAACATTGTGAGGTTACATTGGCCTTTAACTTTGATCACTGAAATCTAATCATTTCATTGTTGAGTCCAAGTGAGCATTTGTGCCAAATTGAAGAAATTCCCCTATGGTGGTCTTGAGATATTGTGTTCAAAAAAATTAAACGGACAAGGTCACAGTGACCTTTACCCTGACCAAAGTCAAATCAGTCATCATTGAGTCCAAGTGAAAGTTTGTGCCACATTTTAAGAAATTCCCTCAAGGCGTTCTTGAGAATATCGTGTCCACAAGAATGGGATAGACAAATGTATGGACGGACGGACAATCTGACAACATACTGCCTCCAGCCACGACTATGGCCGGCACGGAGGCATAAAAAACACTTGAGAGAGAAGTTTAAACTCTGGCACTAAATGTGTCATGTGATTACAGCTTTGCATTAATGTAAAAGACAAAAAGCTATTACTTGGCTAGATGAAGTGAGTGTTAACCTGTATCACAGGTGATGAGAGGTGTGGTTGAAGTGTGCTCCTGTGCCCAAACCCAAGTTAACTATTTAACCTTTCTATCATACATTTAAAAGATTGTGGAACACTTATATTGCTTAATGTGGACATTTCTCTTGTAACTGTTGACTTTGAAATCTCAGGGTCTCCCCCAAGACACTGCTGACCTTTTGCACCAGTGGAGTGTTCCTCAGAACATTGATGGCTGGAGATAGCAGCCTGACAACTGTCACACATGTAATAGTGGTGAGCATCAAGACTAAAAATAAACTGGACATACAGTCTCAGAAAACTGCTTAAATCTGTCATCCTGCCTTATGGAATCCGCCTATTTGAGGCTGGACATTTTCTTTGAAGAGTAACATCCATCTGAAAAGCAATGTTTTGCTGCCCTCCCTGGTTGAAATATGTCCAGCCACACCCAGCAGTGGTGTCACGGGGTCCTGGAGTCCACCACTACATCACTGCTGCAAGGTGAAAAGTTTAACCACTGGAGGTCAGCAAAAATAAGATTTTCAGGGGATGTTTAAGTCCCCCTTTAAAGGTCTTTAAGTTCCCAGTTTGACTTTTGTTTTGAGCTCACTGAGAAAACATCCTTTTAAAGTGGCTGTTTTTCAACAGGATGAGGTGCATGAGCGTGATGGTCTGACTGACTTCCTGCTCACTAAGATGCGGGATGTGCTTCAGAAGATCCCCACACTGAAACTGATCCTCTCCAGTGCGGCTCTGGATACAGACCTGTTCCTTCAATACTTTGGCTCCTGCCCTGTCATCCACCGTAAGTCCTACCAACTCTTAATTCACTGTACTGATGCTCAGACCAGCTGTTGTTGCTTTTAAAGTTTGCTTCTACATTAGTGCTGTTTGCATGTTGCATGTCAGCTAGTTTGCTTCCCAGTGACAGTATGAGAAGATGCAGAAAAACTCTAATCTTCTTGAATTTTTTTTTTTTTTAATCATTGCAGATCAATCTGCCATTTTTCTCATATGCTGAAGAGGAAAAGCACAAAAATAAAACCAAACAGACTGAGACAACACACAACCACAAAACAAGTCAAATGTCTATACATGTTACATGGTTACATTCTCGGCTTTCCTTTTTTTCCCTACATAGATCAAGAAAGGCTGCCAAATTGCTTAGAAACTCAGACCAGACCCTTGAGGAGAATATCTTATCTGAGAAACTGCATAATCTCTAATCCAATTAGAATGCAGCCTGGTAAGACATTCCTGATGATGTGATCTCAACATTCTGTTTTGCTCTCTGTATCAGTCTTGACACCCCAAACACTTTCCAGAAATTAAAATCAAATCCAGGCCAATCAGAGATCATCACCATTGTTGACAATGTAAGCAGCCAATCAGGGACTACATTGCAGTTTATGATGTAAAATGCAGGCCACAGCTTGCAGAACAGTATGGCGCCTTCCAAGCAACAAGTGCTATCTCTTACATTAGTAGAGTAAACACAGCAATTAGTGAAGTTATTGCAGAAATAGTCTATAATAAAGATGAAAGAAGAACAAGAGTATGCACTCAGAGTTTCTTGGATGAAAAGACGTTTTTGACGCTCTTCCACTGGATTTGGCAAATGTTTGTTTATTAAGGAGTTTGTCTGTCATGGCGAGTACTCCCACCCACTGAAAGTGTATTGGGCAGCACAGGGTCCAGACTAATACAGAGAGCGAAACAGAATGCTGAGCTCACATCATCAGGATGGTCTTACCAGGCTAATAATCTCTCCCCCCAGGCCTGCATAGGGGGTGAGATTCTTTCCATCGTAACAGTGTATGCAAAAGGCCAGCATGTTGCTCACATTAAGTACTCAGATGCATACCCTACAGTACAACACCAAATAGAACAATAAGAGGGGATGCATCTATTGGCTGCTCTAACATTATAGAGGATGTTTTGAAAATAGACTGCCATAAATTATACAGTCTTGGACATGTCCAAAGCATATGAAATAGACCTGCAGGATCTTGCTTGCATCTATCTCATGTAGGATACAAATCCGGTCTAATTCTAGACAATCTAACCGTGACCAATGAAGTCAGTGTACCATCTTGATTTGTCCAACAGCATGCCGTTGACAAATGGATGATGAGTATTGTAAAATGTCAATTAATAGCCTGGGCTGCTTAATCCTGTTTCACAACTTGGATGAATTTTTTTTATGAAAAACCCTTTTGTTTTTTTGATTGGTTGACTCTTACGGACCAAAGGAATATAAATAACTTATTAACTGGGTAATCGAGGAATGGACACATATTTTGACTTTATGACAGCTTTTGAGGAAGGAAGTCACCACTTGTTTTTTCGTCATGCATGAACTTATGGTGCTCATGGTTTCAGTATGATTAACTGAGTGATTGAATTATGGAGAATCTAACTGAGCTAACAATGTGTAGCATTTACATATTGACCAAAGTATAAACATTTATATTTATATGTGTGACCTAAACAGCTATTATCGTTAGCTCAAGTGGGTAGCCAGCAGCATGTTTAAGTGGGACTAGGCTTTTAATTGAAATTTTACGGTAATCTAGTGTTAGCAATTTATGTAAATTGATAAGGTTATATATCCTACCTATAGTCTTCACAGAACCTAGTTCATTTCAAGCTCACTCAATCCTTTATACGTTCTGCAAGTATGATGGAACCTGTTGTTCTAAAACTCAGAGCGTGTTTATCCTAAGTTTAAATAAGAAAAAGACATACAATGAAATGACAGAATTGGTTTGTTTTTAAAACTTTTAAGAGTTTTAGTTTTTGTTTTTTTTAACATTACTAAGACTCAGAATGTTCATCATGGTTTTTTTTTATATATCTGCAATACTTGACACTCCCCTTTCATAATTTCATATTCATATACAAACATTTTTGGTGCATTGAAAACCTGTGGAGATGCAGGCAAAAAAAGCCAAAAAATATTGAATTGCAGTACAAATTTCTCATTGAAACTTCCACAGAACATTAATAGTATCACTCATGCAAACTGATGCCATTTCTGAGTAGCCTAACTTTTCCTGAAATAACAAAAGTGAAAGCTGAGCAAATATGGTCAAGGGTTAAAACCTTTATTTGCTCAGGTAAATGAAGGGACACAGCATTCTCCAGAATATCACATGCACAACCTACCATGAATTGGCACAAAAAGAATGAATACTGGAGTGAATGTAACATCCAGAACACATTTCACTCGAAACAGGTCGTTCTAAATAAAAAGAGGGTTGATTATTAACCGAAACAATGCAAATTCAGATGTGATGTTCATCTGTATGTGGTTTTGAGATTTGTTTTATTTTTTTAGTCAAAGGAAGACAGTTTGAAGTGAAGGAAGTCTTTCTGGAGGACATTCTGAGGCTGACTGGCTTTAATAAGGACATGAGAAAATTCAAGGAAGAGACACAGAGAAGTATGGGTTTTTACATTAATTTGTCCACTGAGAAAAAACGTTACAGTCTTCCATCTGATTTTGTCTTAATCTCCTGTCAGTGTCACATGCTCTGGTTCTCAGAGGAGAAGAAGCAGAAATGTTTGATGGAGTGGTGTATGGCAGTAGAGCACAGTTCTGTTGAGGAGACACCGAGGACTCCTGTGTCTGCCCCAGGCGTCCTCCAGGACGGCAGCTCCTTGGACAGAGGGGACCGCACTTTCAACAAGCTGGTAAACCAACAATCTCACACACACACACACACACACACACACACACACACACACACACACACACACCACTCTTTATTAAGGGTTGGAATCACTAGAGGCTCCACGATGTGATATCATGATATTTAAGTCACAATACAGTATTATTGAGATTTTAAAAGTGTTGCCATATGCTGAGTATTGGGATAGAATATATTTTGCGATTTTTCAACTGCAGATTATGTCCTGAAAGGAAAACATTGTCAACATCTGTCTAATAATCTTATCTAATAAGATGGAGTTTTCAGTCTGTTCATCTCACTTCAATCCTTTTATTTGCAGCAAAATATATGTAGTGGACTGAAAAAGCAATTGATTTTATTATTCAAGTAGGCTACCTAAATTTTGATTTGCATTTATAATATTAGTTCTTTAATAAAAACAATGACACTTGGCACTGTGGGACAATACGATTAGTGGGTCTGAAAGAGTCACAGTATTCTAATGTTCAGTATCTCACCTTGTTATCGATGTAGTTACAAGATACTCATTAGATATGTGGCCTCTGCTGTCACGTGTATTGCTCCTTTTCCCTGAAGATGAAGCTTACAACAGTATTTTTTTTAAAAAAAGTAATAATTTCTCCTATTTATATCAGTGGGAAATTTGTGTAAAATGACACAAGACACTGACACTGTTGTGTTACATCCCTGTTGGTCACCAACATTGTTAGATGTTAATATTAAGTTGAATTTAGGTTGTGATGTCAGGTTACCAAATTTTAGTGTCTAATGCCAATGTCAATTTGACGTAAAATACTGATGACAGATGATGTTGATATTTTGTTGGTTTTAAGTTGTGTTCTTAAGTATCCAAAATGTCATCAAAAATCTTGATGTAGAATAATGAAATTTAGTCATAACGTATGAAGAACAAAACCCAACGTGGGCAAAATGTCATGTTGTGAACGTCCACACAACTTAAAATTCTAAGATCGTTAGACATTTTAAATATCATCTTTCTGATGTCACGATGACATTAAGTGCTAGCTTGGATGCCATGCCTGTTTTGCTTCCAGAGTGCTGCTTAAATCAGACATTTGGGCAGGATTATGCTAGTATTGTTTGGTTCAGTGTTAAAAAAAAAGGCAGATTTTACAGCAGTAGCGTGGAATATCTGTTTAAAGAGTACTGTTGAATGTGCGTTGTGTGAAACCTGCTTTGCACCAGGTTGAGTTAGTATATGATTTTGTGTCACAGAATGAGAATGATACAGAACATCTGGAGCCATGGCTGCGGAAGGAGATGGACTCAAGCATTTCCAGTGTTTTCCTCAGTGAAGACCAGGTTGCTTTCATTCAGCTCTTCAACCTCATCGTCTATGAAGGTGTTAACGGTATGACTCTCAGAGCTTATCTCTGCTCCTAAGCCCAGTTCAGACCAAAGATTCGTGACAAAGCCAAAACCGTTTTAGAATGTTACAGAGGAAAGTTGCAGCAGTGTGAACTGGCTAGTCTGAGCTCGGCTCAAGCCGGCTGATGGAGTCACCTGCAGCTCAGCTGGTCAAATCGCAGGTGGCTGGTTTTACAACATTAAGTACGTCATTTGTTTCAACAGCCGATCGGTTTGTAGTGAAGTCAGCTGGTCAAGTCAAAATGACCACAGACGGCGTGTTCGCTTGCTGCGGCAGGTGCTCCGTCCCCGCCTAGCCCTCTGTTCCCATCCTCATGGTGTGCTGGTGTCGGACGGTGGGTCGCTGATGCTGCTTGCTGTATGTGCTAAGCCCCCCCACCCCCACATACACATACATACTCACTGACTGATTAATTGCCGCTGATTATTTATATTATTGTGATGTATTGATTATGAATACAGTCCATCTGATGCTCGTTTTTTGTTTTTTGCCATTTCATCATCACTACAAATGCAAGCCAGTATCTCACTATCACTATCCTCATTCATATTTTAAGAAGCTACAAATTATATTCAGCCACAGAAATTAGAACCAGCACGTTTTTTTAGAATGTTGCAGAACGGCACATTCCAAGGAGTTGCGTGTTTCAACTCGTCTTGCTGCGAATCTTTGGTCTGAACTGGGGATTACTCACCTTTCTGGAATCATTCATTTTATAACTTCGAAATTTTGCATTTCAACAATATTAGAATGGTAATAATCTTGTACGTGATGAAATAAAAATTCCAGTGGATGATGTAATACACTCCTTTTGCACCATGAGTAGCGTTTGTACACGGCTATTTTAAACAAAGGTAAAGCCACTACAAATAGACTATAGATTCCCTTCCCATTGCCAGTAGACCAGAGTTGTGTATACAGCTCTGCAGCAGATGAGTATGCCTTTCTGTAAGTCATGTCATGTCATCTACTTTATTTATATAGCACTTTACAACGACCACAGGTGAATCAAAGTGCTTCACAAGAGATTAAAAAAACAATTAAAAACACAACAGATTCATGAATAAAAAACAACAAATAAAAGGATAAAACAATAAAATAAAATAAAATAGGAGTGTCACCACATTACTGAGTATTAAAAGCCATCCTAAATAAATAAGTTTTAAGTTTAGATTTGAAGAGGCTCAGGTCAGAGGCAAGACTTATGTCAGTGGGGAGTTTATTCCAGAGCCTGGGTGCGGCAACAAAAAAAGCTCGGTCACCCCAGTGTTTGTATTTAGACCTGGGCTCTTCCAACAAGAGTTGGTTAGAGGACGTCAGAGCCCTGCCACGCTCTATGTGTGTTTAGTTTTTTTTTTTTTTTTTTTTTTTTGGGTGTGTCACGTTCGACATCAGGCCAGGTCATTAATCAGAAGAGATGAGTATAGAGGCCAGTGAAAATGTTAGGTTAGGTTAGTTAGGTTTTATTGTCCCCAAGGGGAAATTCTTTTCCACAGCACTGTACTTGTTGGACTCAGCATACAGTGGTTACTTCTTTTTATATACCTCTAACTTATTCAGTCTGTCTCAAACTCGGTGCAGTGTGGATCGATTATTGTGCTGCTTGGGCAGAGATGTATTTTTTGGTGGCGCATTATTGCCTTTCCAGTAAAGGAGCTAAGATTAATGTGCTTACCAAGGTGTTGTGTTTCCATCAATGCTGATTGGAGACGGAGCCAATTAATACCTGCGATTACTGCAGAGACATTTGACCTGGTGTGAATGCCAATTAAAACTTTTCCCATTACATTAAAAAGCCAGATATTAGTGGATTTTGTTGGGTTTTTATGGGGTGGAAAAGGGGCTATTGAAGACATCTGGGATTTCTTTCATCAATTTGATGATGTACCTTTATTTATCAGGGATATAATTTACGGGATTAGACAGTTCCATCTGTTTTATTATACATTAACAGTTTTCAGCTGAATTTCTACATTGTGATATACTATATAGATGTTGGAAGATAAGAATACACACATAGCAATAGAGTATTTTATCCACATGGCCCACCCATAACTGCTGATAGTGCATAACTGCCCATAAAACCACATCTAGTTGAGGTATTATGTGTATTTATGAATTCTGGACAGAGCTGTCTGTTTCTCCCTGCTTTCAGCTTTTAAGCTAAGATAGTCTAACCATCTTCTGGCTCAAGCTTCATGTTTTCCATAAGCCCTGTTTTCACCAAACACTTCCGGTAAGTGACCCTTCAGACATGCTACCCAGATCCTAGGTCCATTACTAAAAGTGTTTGTCATCCAAGAGAGACAATAAAAATTAATGAAATAGTCAAAGTTGCCATGTTGAAATTAAAGGTGTGTTGATGGATCCAGTATGCTCCCACTTGGCCCAGGCCCCCCGCTTGCCCATGCCCACTATTCTGCTGAAGCGAACTTCTTCCACTTTTGCACGCACTTCTTCCTGAATTAGCTTTCGCCTCTCCTTTCCCCTGGCCACTGCCTTGCCTTAGCTTGGCTGACTACCTCCTCAGCACGCCACTTTCTTTGTGTTCTCACCTCTCCACTCGCAGAAGAGACCTTGGTATCAGAGGAGTCTTGGTAGAGCAGGACTTCCCTGGCTCTGGTGACCTTGAGCTTTTCCATCAGACTGCTGAATGGAAGCTGCGGCTTGGTGCTATGCCCATAAAGGGCGATGCTGCTGAGACTCCAGGGCAGGCCCAGTCACCTGAGCTGGAAGCTGTTTATCTTGCTTTCGAAGCTCTCCACAGTGGTAATCAGAGTTTCATAGATCAGCAGTGGCCAGAGGAGTCGAGGCAGGATCCCATGTTGATATGTCCAGGCCTTGAACTTACAGGGAAGTCCTTATTTGTTGCTCAACGTGCTGCTGTGTCCTTCATGACGCTGGTGAAGAGCTTACCCAAGGCCTTGCCTTTCCTAAGGACCAGAGACCTGGATTTTGCTGGTTTGAAGCTCATTTTCGCCCACGTCATGAGTCTTTCATTTCATCATTTCATTTTATAGTTAACTAATATATGTAAGACTTGCCACGGTATGAACAATGGTTATGTAAGACTCAAAACCAGCCGCCACTCAGCTCTGATCAAGAGTGACTGTCCTCTGTTGACCAGTCAACAGACTGCAGTGTTTTAAGCTCCACCTTTTAGTACCAGATCTGTGTGCTATTTACCCCAACAGAGGGGGGACCAAACATTTGAACAGTAAGAAACGGTTACATTGGTACCATCCGCAACTTTTCATAGTGGCAACGGAAAACTGTACCTGACTGCTAGGTGGGAATGGGGCTATACACTAGGGCTGGGCGATATGGACAAAAATTCATATCCCGGTATTTTCAGGCTGAATGGCGATACAGGATATATATATCCTGGTATTTTCTACAAAGTGGGCTACATGTTCAGTTGCAAGCTGATCTTCAGCTGAAGTCCCATGTTATTTTTGCTGCATGTGTTTTTCCACAGCAGGGCAGGTAAAAGAAGTTTACCTGTGGGAGGTGAGCTATTCGCACTGTGGCTGTTTCTGCTTTTACTCTTCCTTGCTCCCATATTTTTACACTTGTTTTAATTGAAGAAAAGCGGCTAATATAGTTTTGCTAATTCCGTAATAAACATATTTTAATTCCTATTGAGTCTTAAAAATAAAAGTCCTCTGTTATTTTGTTATGTGTAAATTTTTATTGTGAAGCAGCAAAATAAGGAAATGTTGAGTTTTTGAGCAGCAACTTGAGTAAAAATAGGACGCAGGAGAGAAACTAAACTCCTGTGGTGGCAAAATTTCTATTTATGAACAGTTGTATGAACAGAAAAAGTCTTCACATGTCGGCTGTCTTTCTTGAGTTTTAATAAGCGTTCATGAATGGAGACACTCAAACATACAACCGCATGAACAGTCAGTCAGTGAGTGCCTAGCAAGTCCTCTAGCCCTGCTATCTTTATAGTTCCCATAACACATGCACATCAACAGTCAAAATATGTGGCGCCTTGACCACAGAGATTCAGTTATAAGCCACTTTTGGACCTACTCTGGAGAAAGAGTGGGTGTGAAGCTCGGCATGGCACCGGGCGTCTAAACTGATAACAGAAACACAAATCAGCGCTTGACTGGACATGGTTAAAAGTTAAAGCTATAGTGCGTAACTTCTGTCGCCTCCCAGTGGATAATGCGTTATTACAACTAATAAGCCGGCAGCACTTCCATGTACACAGAGTAACACTCTCCACACACTGTGTACACAGAGTAACACTCTCCACACACTGTGTACACAGAGTAACACTCGCCAGTCGCCACACACTATACACAGAGTAACACTTGCCTTTGTGGTAGGATCCACTTCTGAACCGTGTCTCAGCCGCTTCTCCGGCATGTTTTTCTCTTTCTACCTGCGCTCTACCTCTTGCTATGACACTCTACGCTCTTCCTCCCCCTCCCTTGTTGTGAGGAAGCATTTCCTGTGCGCCAGTGCGGGAATGTCGCTGGTCGACACGCAAACTAAAAATGATATATATTGAAAAATACCACAAGATGTTAGAGGAGCCGATCGGCTTAATCAGCATTGTGTCATCTCCTCTAGTAGTGGCTTGGGTGAAACGGACATTTACGGACCTGTAGAAGTTACACACTATAGCTTGAAGGAGGAAAAGGCCCACAGTATTGTACAGGTGCTACTACGGTAACTTCATTCATCTCACAGACTGATTTAGCGTAGTAGCTTGTGCAACGTAAAGACACTGTAGACTAATTAAGAGACAGATTAAACAGAGGAGCAGCTCTGTGTCTCTCTTAGCGTTGATGGAGAATCTGAGTGAGTGAGTGAGTGAGTGAGTGAGTGAGTGGGGCGGAGCTGTGTGGAGAGTATGAGAGAGGACAGATGAACACTATTTTGATATAAAAGGTATTGTCTAAAACTATATCTTGCTTGAAAATATATTGATATAGTGTAAAAAATCTATATACCGCCCAGCACTACTATACACACAAAATAGTGGTATCGATCCTCTTGCCTAACGCTCAGCAAAAAACATCTTACTCTGCAAAAAAGGGCATTTCCCAAGATGTTGAACTTTTCTTCCGACAGTTTGAATTTTAGTGTTGGCCCTGTGCTATCCTGAACATGAAACATGGGTATAGAACATGAATGGATGTAAGATATTATGAAGGCACTAGCTGTATTGTCATACTTTGTATTCTTTTCCCTAGTGGACTACAGGCACAGTGAGACAGGGGCCACGCCTCTGATGGTGGCAGCAGGTCGAGGGTTCCTCACTCAGATGGAGCAGCTGCTCAACATGGGGGCAGACATCAACATGAAGGCCTCCAACGGGTGGTAGGACATCCACCATGTTATGTTACCAGGCTGATGTTAGGCCGCTATGTTAAAGTCTCTGCTATCTACAGTGATTATCTTCCATTTTTGGTAGTTTTCCTTTTCTTGTCTATTAAAAATATGTATTTTTACAGGCTTTTACAGGTAGGTATTTTCACGCGTCCAGGCGGCTTCACAATACAAACCAATGATGTAGCTGCAGGAACTGCAAAGTTAACACTCAAGCCATTACATTTTCTACTTCTTAAGACACTTTCTACTTTGTTTTGTTTTGTTTTAACATCCTTTAAGATGTTGGGCATATGTGAGTGACATCTGATTATTTTCCTTTCAGGACAGCCTTAGACTTTGCCAAACACTTCCAGCAGACAGAAGCTATGGATCTACTCCAGTCATCAATGTGAGTGTAATGTTGACCTTTATATGCACTACTAAACTAACTACTGTAAAAAAAGAGAAAAGGAGTTATTGGTTTGTTCTTTTTGTGAAAGAGAGGTAGTGTTACTAACAGGGCTGTGCCTGACTCAGTATTACACCAGTGGACTCAGATTCAGCTGTTCAATACAAATACTGGACAATTCATTTTTTTCCCATATAAAGTTTTAATGTTTGAACAGGGTTCAGTGTGACAGTGACATTCATGTGATATACTAACAAGCTTAACAGTGCTAATGACAGATCAGAAATGTGCGCAAAACATTTTTTGCCAACACCAGATATAAAACAGACTGTGTCATTTGCTGTGAGCTGTAGAAGGCAGAGGATAATGTTATCCCTGACCGGGCAAAGCCTCTCTTCCTCTGGGCAACTGCCTCTTATGTCCACAGCTGCTGTACCAAGAAGCAGCGTGAAAGAGAGCGCCCAAAAAAACTGCTCAACTTAGAGGAATCCCAGTCAGCCGAGGGGTCTCTGAATGATGATTTGAATCTCCAACTTTCATGGGGCACTGCACCCACTGCACTAGTAAAGTTGTGTTTTTAGGTCCTTGTGGCAATAAAATCCTTTGCAAACAGAGCGGATAGCACAGCAAGTTATATAACATTACCTAACGTTAGGTAGGATTAGCATTAGCATTTGTCCCAGTTGATGTTGTAAAGCTAATATGCAAAGAGGATGAGATGGTTTCCCAGAGCCAGCATACCAGCTCCAGACAGCGATACTCGCAGCTGACCTTCAGGTATGAGTCCTGTGAAACAGCAAAACTAATGTTACCCACCTTTCTAGCAGAAACAGAGCAGCCTCCATCTTCATGTCTTTTAGCTCTCAGAGGTCTCTCCCCCAATGAGAAACCTCACTGACGTTAAAGTGGCTGTTCGCCCTAGCCTGATCATATCCCTTCCTTTTTTTTGTTTTTGTTTGTCTGACCTTTTCCTCTGTGGCTTTTTCTCAGCCATCTCTCCCCCTTGATAATGCACTGTCCATAATGCACAAATACACCTCAGCATATTCTGCCGCATTTACCATTCCTCCCACTCCAACTGCCTTTCTCTTTTCCCACGGTCTTTTCCCTGTCTTGTGCACAAGCATGAACACTCCCTGTTGCTATGGCTACAGCAGTGTTTTGTGGCTTGGTCTGAGCCACTTTATTTGTTTCCCATTTACAGAGCCAGGGTTGTGTTTGAACATTAGAGACAGCTAGCAGACTGTGAAGAGAATATAGTTGCTGAATTTGACAAAAAGTGTATTGGTTCAGAATCACAGACTCCACCTTTAAATGCTGTTTTAGGAGATTTATAAACTGATAAACTCATTGGACTCCTGGTCAGCTCACACATACTTTCCTGTTTCTGTGCAGTCCCCTGGGAGAGGTGAGCAGCCTGGAAGAGTCCACTCTGGTGCAGTGTGGCAGTGCAGAGCTGAGCACTGAGGAACAGGAGCTGCTCAAACTGTACCACCACAGCTTTGATGATGACCATGTGGACCTGGACCTCATCATGGATGTGCTGCACAACATCTGCTCCACCACCACTGATGGTGAGCCTCTGTACTAGATTTTAACAACATATGTGCTTATTGAGCAACACAAGATTCACACTACCAAGTTATCCTGTTGCCTTGTCAACAGGACTACTAATCACAACCATATTTCATGGACTCTAGAAGATATTTCAGGATTACTAGAATGTGAGCTTTTATCCGTTTGTCTTCAGGTGCTGTCCTGATTTTCCTTCCTGGATACGATGAGATAGTGGCACTCAGGGACCGCATCCTGTATGACGATAAGAGATTCTCCACCATCTCTGAGAGGTAAAACATGTACTGCACATAAGAAGAATGAAAGGCATTTGAAAATCATGCAATACCTATAATTCCTATAATACCTACATTCTTAAAATGTATAGTGAAATTAGAATTACCACCTTGAGTTTTAAGGTTCATTCTCTCTGCCGTGATGTGGAAATGGGGGACGGATTTGCAGAATATTTGCGCAGCGCTTTTCCGCGTTTAAACCATACACACGGGAGCGGTACGGACGCGGTGCGGAATTTCGCGTTGTTGTGTTCCAATTCCGCGCAGTGTGCGGGTGTGGGTGAGCATGGACGAGAGTAGCCGCAGCAGCAGCAGCAAGCTAGCAAGCTAACGTTTAGCAAATGTCAAAATCAACTTTCTCTCACTGCAGCCACCAAGCTGGACAATGGACTGCCAGACGTTGTCCTTTAATTCATTGATCATAAAATCATCTCGTCTTTTATCAAAAAGGACGGGGTGCTGTGAAACGAGGTTTATCAACCTTTCTCCCATACTGTCCTGCCTGACTGGATTTCGGACTCTCCCGGGTCTGCGCGACTATAAAACAATTTCATTGGCCCAGTTGTGTAGTTCCGCCGGCGAATTCCACAGGCGGTCAGTCTTGGTGGAAAGTTTTTTCACTGCACGGAAGTTCCGCCCAGGTGTGCAAACTTCCATAAGAACCCATGAAATCAACTTTTATATTTTTCCGCAAGAATAATCCGCGCGGATAGTCGCCCTCAGTGAGAATGGACTTTTATGCCTCTGCAAACCAGTCCAGTTGCAGTTATACTTTACATTAATGGTTGTCCACACTCATGTAGCCATTAGGGGTTTAAAGGATCACATAATTCACAGTTCGATAAGTTTTCAGTACAGGGAAAAAGTAGGAATGTCAGAGAAATTTTGTTGATTTTTAAAGTTTTAAATGTATGAAAACTAACAATCTGGGCTTTTGGGTTTTTGTGTTTGCAGGAATTACTGTGTGATGAAAATACATGAAAAGACTATGAACTGTGTAGTACTATTAGACCGTTGAACAGTTTTTCAGCATTTCTGTGTTCTACTCTATAAATACTAAGTTACTGTACTACCGACATTAGAACTCATAGTGTCAGTATAGTTTCTGTCACCCACTGTGTGTCAGTGGTGAGTTTGCTACGTCCAACGAGCTCTCTGAGCTCTGTCAGTTGATAAATACATGAATAAACATCTCTGTTAAATGCCACAATCATATAAACACAAGCTAAACAGCCATCGCTAACAGACCTTAAAGTCTTTCTTGCCAAACCGGCTACCCTGCTCGCTGCTGTCGATGTGTGCTTTATGCTAATGTTGGCTGCTGACGACAGTCTTTTCTCTGTGCAGCAGTTCGTACTTCTGCTCTGGGGTTGTGTATGTTACTGGGTTAGCTGCTAAGGAGAGTCTGTAGCTGTGTGGTGGCTTGTTCTTTGGCGCGGTGTGTTTTTATCCACCACTCTTTCCCTCCATCACCCTCATCATTCACAGTCAAACCAAAGTGGCTCCAAACATCAGATCTGTAGGTTATCAAGGGGATCTTCTATTTCTGGTCTGGTAATGGGTTTACTAAGCATCTTGCAATGAGCTAGCTTAATGTAGCTGCCTCCCACTGTGTCTCAGTGGAGTAAAATGTCCTGGTTTTGGGGTGGGAAGGGCAGACAGCATGATGCCTTTTCCGTCCTGTGGACTGCCTTGTTGAGAACATTATATTGAACAATTTAAGCTGTAGATTTTCAAATGTAATAGTATAGTTAAAGGTATCATTCAAATCATAATGCGTACCGAACCAAAAGCCTTGCACCAAACGGTTCAATACGAATATGTGTAGTGTTACACCCCTAGGAGCCATGACAGTAGACAAATATGGACGTTGCTGTCAAAAGCTACAAATTTTAAAACATGAATGCTTCACACACATCTTCCCATGCAGCGGCAAACAAGATCTATACATCAGTACATTTTCAAGGTGCACCCCCAAGATTAGTATCACTAATTCAGTATCTGACCAAATGATTCCCCTTCTGTTCCTGAGATAAGACATTGAATAATAGAACTTTTTAATGTCACAGTGAAGCTGACCTTGGACCTTTGGATAGAAAAGGTCATGGATTCATTTTATATAATTATGTATTTGTGTAAAAATTTTAATAATTAGCACATGATTTTTTGAGTTATGGCCAAAAAACATGTTTTGTGAGGTCACAGTGACGTTTTGAATTGTGACCACCAAATATGAATCAGTTCGTTCTTCAATAGAAGTGGATGTTTGTGCCAAATTTAAAGAAATTCCCTCAAGGCGTTCTTGAGATTTTTTTTTTTTTTTTTTACATGGGCCTTATTTTTGTTGTTTGTACCATATGGTCAGTTGATTGTGTTGAGCATAGTGAAGCGCAGCAGCACTTTGTGAAGTGTGTCTCTGACAGAGGTTTATTCTCTCAGATACCAGGTGTTCACTCTACATTCAGACATGCAGACTCTGGATCAGAAGAAAGCCATGAAGCCCTCTCCACCTGGTGTCCGGAAGATAGTGAGTCTGATGATGACACTCAAAGATATTTTTTATTATTCAAGGGAAACAGACACCAACAGCATTTTGACACCCCCCTAACTGCTTAACTATCCTATTTGTCAATATCAGGCCTTATCAACTTTTATGAAACTTGAGTGGCACATTTCAGCCACTATACCCTACTTTTTACCCTTCAGTATGGTTTGGTCATTTTTTTTTGACTTTCAGATTCTTTCAACCAACATTGCTGAGACAAGCATCACCATCAACGATGTGGTCTTTGTCATTGATTCAGGAAAGGTCAAAGAGGTAGAGTTACTATTAAAGAGTTGTATTTACAATACAAGAGTACCATGAAGCCAAAAGATAGGTAGAATTTCACACATGTGATTAGTAATTAAGTCTTAAATCTGTTTCCTTTTGTAGAAGTCCTTTGATACCCTCAGTCGTGTATCCATGTTAAAGAGAGTTTGGATCTCGAAAGCCAGTGCTCTGCAAAGGAAGGGAAGGTAACATTAACATTGTCCATCTTCTGACTTTATAATCATCTCAAAAAATGTTAAATCTTACAGTTCACCTGATATTTTATGATTGTCATGGAATGTAAAAAGCCTCTGCTGTTAATATCAGTTTTTATCCCGATATAAAGTTTGAATCATGTGTGACCCATCCACAGAGCTGGGCGATGCCAATCAGGGATATGCTTTCACCTCTTCAGTCGACTCAGGTTCAACAATATGCAGGAATTTCAGGTTCCACAGCTGTTGCGGATGCCTCTGCAGGTAGTGACACACACGCATGCACAAAAAAAAAAAAAAAAAAAAAAATCAATTTGTATCCTTCATCAAGCAAAGTCCTTTTTTTGTTTTCCTTAAACACTGTCTTTACAGATTCACGCAGGGTGATGATAAATCACTTCTACATTTTTAAATCATTATTTGAACTTGTTTAAAATACCACAAAAAATATGAACCTAGAAAATCATGTTGTTTTACAATGAAAAAAAGATTCAGGGATATGTTTTGTATCTTAAAATCTTGTCTTGATGGATGTTTAAGGATCTGATCGCATAGTAAGAGTTTTGCAGGGTTCAAAACACAAGGCGCACTGCACTGCATTTTTGTTTTTTAATTGAATGTCATTAGTAAAAAGAAAAAATTGCTTGCTGCACCTTTTTATTGTTGTCATGCAACCACCCCATCACCTCCTTACCCTAACCTATGTAATCAATATACCATTTTTTTTGTTTTTATTTTATTTATTTTACATTAATTAGTATCTAGTTCCTAAAATCGATAGGCAGAGGGTACTTGCTGTAGCTCTGGTTGAGGGTAAGAGGCTGTCAGCAAATAGTTTGTTGGGCACAGGGAAACACAGATGTGGGTACACGAGACCCTAAAAAAGAGGGTGGATCACAGGTAGTATCATCAGTTGGTCCAGGAGCTTCACCTCCATGGTGGCCGTTACAAAGGCTGCACTTACATGCTTCCACCCCTGCTGTTTTCTGTTGAGATGGTGGTGACTGCAGTTTGTAAAGTTGTGTAGCTCTTGGTACGTATCCAGCAGCTGCTACCTCCAATTTCTTCTCCATTGTTTACCAGCTGTTAACTTGTTGTTGTGACCACAGAAGGCCTGCCTCTCAAATCATTCCACTGGACAATGGTAAAAAAGTGGACATGATATGTGACATGTGTCTGCTCTGAGTTAAAGGTTTTTCAACTCGAGGAGTTCAAAGTGCTCCGCCTAAAATACCAGGCGCCTAGAGCGCAGAAAGGGGAGGCGTATAGCAACACAAAAACAGTAAGCACAAGGCAATTACTATTACAAATATAGCCGCAAGCGGCAATACCGGGGTTCAAGCCAGTATGGAAATTTAGATCTTTAGAGCTAAGTAGAATAAAGAACCTTGACAGTTCAGGACACCTGCATTAAAGATTACCAACACGTTTTTTGACAGACAGATGCTCATTCATTAATGTCCAAATCTTTATTGGGCCACGCTCTTCTTTGGCAGCACTGTCGCTTCCTATTGGTCAACTGCAAAACATTTTGGGGACATGCATTAATGGCTTAATTAAAAAAAGTCCACTAAGTTTGGTGATGTTTTATGGCCAAATTTTGTGAAAGGCTATTGCACTTATTTAGAACTTGTGGTGCCCCCTATTGACCAATTCTAGAATAATACATGTGTTTCATCATCATTGTTTAACATACCCTGCAAGTTTTGTAATGATTGAACGATCAATTTCTGATTTTTAGTCTGATTTGTGTTATTGCGTGCCCATTTTTTGTATTTGTGGTGCCCCCTACTGGTCAATTTGAATGAAACTTTCAGGATATGCGCCTGGAACCTCTTAAGACATTGCTTCCAAGGTTTGTGATGATTGGTCCAAACGTTGTGGGAGTCATTTGCTAAGCCATGCCCCCTTTAAAGTTCACTGGTCAATATCTTAAAAAAGCAAAGAGATATCAATAACAATTAAAGCGTTGGTGATAAAATTCTGAAAATAATCTCACAACATTCTGTTGATTCTGTTGATTTTTGTTGACATTTGGTTGAAAATTATATGAAAAAAAATGTTGTGCATACAGTACAAATTACAACAAGATAATAAATATCACTGTGAGCGAACCGTTAAAGCGATCTGAACACCATTTGAAACATGTGACACCTAGTATCCAAAGAGTGTTTGTGGCAATGGTGGTTGTGTTTAGATGAAGACTTTTGGAGATATTGATGTTAATTGATTTTGCATATTCTTAAAAATATGAAAAAAAGTGACAGACTTCTGAATTGGCTATACGTTGCATCGCGACTGCCCATCGCGGGCCTTATGTTTTCACAGTCTCTCATTCAGTCACGCCACGGACACACCCAACGTGGAACCGAAGCGCAGCGCCCAGCAGCAGAGGCAGTTTTCAGTCGGCGCCCATGTTAACCTATCTGACTGTCCACACAGGCCGCTGAGCAGAGCGGAGCGCCCGTGGAGGCTCGCGCACTGCAGCGCTTCAGTTCGGCGTCTGGTCTATTTTTCACGCGTGACGTGAGCGCTTCTGTCAAGCTGGATAGAGCGGATCGTACCAAACAGGAAGTCGGACACAGAAAAGACGAGAGAATCTGGCCAATTTTCAAAATAAAATAAATTAAAAAATAAAAGCCTGTTTAATTATGATGTTGCTTGTCCGCTTATAAATATTTGTTCAGTTTGGTTTCGACATGAGAGAGATGAAAACACACACACACACACACACACACACACAGAAATGGCTACAGGTTGGGGGTTGCAATTCACGCATACGGGGGGGGGGGTAGAGATAAGTGAGAGATAACTTGTGAAGCCACGGAAGAGTTGTCTCTTGCTAATTAGCTCACTCAGATAGAAGATGCTCCTCGGTGTCAGAGGTCGTGAGTTCAAGCCTCAACTGATGTATAATGTACATTTTAATGCAGACGTTCTTGTTGTCTTCCTATTCTGTCTCTTGTTGCTCAGAATTGCCTAAAATTGTGCAGCCCCAACCATTTTGTAGTAGCTGATGAACAAATTTTCCTTTTTTGGTGAACTGTTCATATTTCATCATTAAAAACCTTGAAATTGTTATTCTAGCTTCTTGATGTAATACTTGATACTCTCAAAGTGCACCAGATTAATTCATTTAGACGTCAAATGTTTAAAATTTTCTTCCTGGGGGGGCATGCCCCCGGACCCCCCTAGCGCAGAAGGCACCCCCCTCCCCTTCATGCCATCTAAAAAAAATTTCAGGCACAGGATTTTTTCTTGCTTCAAGCCCTGCAAATATCTCTGGCTGATTATGAGATATCAACTTTTTGCATGTGTAGTGCCCCCTATGGGTTGATTTGAATCAAGCTCTTACAATGTGATTCAAATACTTATTTATACTATTAATACTTAATACTTAACTTTGTTAATACTTAACAACGGTTAAGGAGTAAAATCCATTTATGTGCTGAGCCACGCCCCCTCTAAAGTTCATTGGTCAGTATCACCAAAACGCAATGACATATCAAGATGTACAACATCTATTGCACGTCTGTCCGTCCTGGAAGAGGGATCCCTCCTCAGTTGCTCTTCCTGAGGTTTCTACTGTTTTTTGTCCCCGTTAAAGGGGTTTTTTTTTGGGGGGAGTTTTTCCTGATCAGCTGTGAGGGTCAAAAGGACAGAGGGATGTTGTATGCTGTAAAGCCCTGTGAGGCAAATTGTGATTTGTGATATTGGGCTTTATAAATAAAATTGATTGATTGATTGATTGATTGATCAAAAAGTCTCTGATGACTTTCGTAAAGCTCCATCCCATGATGATCGACAGAATGTTTGGTGCAAAACAGACCTACGCCTTAGGAGGAGATGTAAAAATGGTGTTTTTCAGAAAATACAATATGGCAGACAATCTAGTGGGCAGACCTTTGGGGGTCTTTAGGCTGTTGGAACCCCATCACCTGATGATGTGTTTCAAATTTAAAGTCAATCTGATATATGGTGCAAGGGCAGTTGCCTTTCAAATCCAAATTTTCCCTGACCTTAAAGCCACAGTGTGTAGGAATTTCTCCCATCTAACGTTGAAATTGTATATTATATTCAAACGGATAGCGCACTCTAGCACCTCACTTTTCCAAACGCGTATTGCAACTACGACAGCCGAGGTGTACCACAAAGCTATGATAAGATTAATGAAACCATGTCATCCGATACTTCATGGAGTATTCATTCAGGCTCCTACACAGACACACACGACGCCAGTTGACAAACCCCCTCCTCACCATGCTGGCTGTGTTTACAACGTAGGACTGTTGGTGCGGGTGTAAATAAAAACAAACCAATAACGTCTTGTCTTTTGACAGCTGACAAGTGGTTCAACCTCACACACCTCATCCCTCTCCTCGCATCACTGCACCGCTGACAGCGGTGCTGGCCTGTGATTGCATTGGCCTGGCCTGCCTGTTGGGGAAAAAAATGACAGGTAGGCCAGCAGGCCAATCACAGCATCCCTTTTAAAACCTTTCTCCTTCCTTCCACCTGGGAAAGGCTGCCCCAATATTGACCCTCGTTTTTTGAATTCACTGGTCACGTTGCCTTTTTGATTTCCTTTTGTGCTTTCTTGGCAACGAGGATTCTGTCTCCCGTGATGCTGCATATGCATGATCCTGCATTATGCTCAAAGAGTGGGACTTTGTTATGCTGCAGTAGTGGAGGCTTTCAAATTTGCTGGGGTAGTAAAGAAGCACCTCTTGCTCCTCTCTTTTGGCTTCTCAGTCACACAGCGCTGGCCTGGCTCTCAACGAAAATGCCAAAGGCGGGGCTATTCCCTGGTAGTGCTGTATGTCCCTTGCTGGTGGAAAATTTCATGTCTCTATGATGTACCATCTCACGGGAATTTACGAAAAAATTTCTGAATAATAATAATAACAATAACAATAATAATACAACAGCACAAACACAAAAGGGTTTCAACCCTTTGGGCTTGAACCCCTAAAGAGCTGCCTCTAGCTGCTAAATCGCTTTGTGTGTGATTGGGACCTAAGTAGGTAAGAATAATGGAACAGCTCGAACAGTGGTAGGTTCAGAAAATTTTGCCACTGTACTGTAATGCAGCCTTTAAAACTAGAAAAAGAAAACAACACCATATTACAATATCCAAAATTGGCATAGTGCCTCGCACAATACCATCATATACTGCATACCCCAGTGAAATTTTAGGAAGGCATGAAGTAATGAAAATTTAGATACTGCCCAAGCCTAATGTGAACCTATCCTTCCAAACATTTTTTGAAGGCATGTTGCTGTGGAACAGCTAGTAAAGTCCTCCTGAGATGGAAGAAAGCACAGCTCGTGGTTCTTTCCCTTGATTTAGTTCAAGTAGGTGGCACTGTTTGCCTTTATAGCCTCCCGTAGCTTCTACTCTAAAGAGGCTAGAGGGGGGTAAGCCTACCCAAAAACAATGTCATTCAATTTTTTAGCTTAAGTTTCATGACTTGCCTTGGAGATTGTTTTTTTGTATGCAATAGTTAACAGAGAGTGCTACTCTAGTTATCAATTTTAAAGATCAGCACAGAGCAGACCACAGAAAAGTCAGTTATAACACAGTATTCTCTTTATGCATGACACATCGGATTACTGGAGCTCAGTAATCCTGTGCATTATTACCTCATTCACAAGTTTTTTTTTGCAGTTTTTCTTTTTTACATGTCATGTTTTATTAAGCATGATGGTGCACACATGCCTGTATCAGTTTTTTTTTTTGCAATATGATGTGACAATTTACAACATATATCTGCCTCGCATGAAATTCAGCATACAACAGGAAGAGAAAGAACAATGGTTGCTATCACTGTCAGAGTACTTTGTGAGGATTCTTATATAATTAAGTAAATCTTGATAAGCACCAACACAGTGCTGCTTAAAACATGCAGTAGGCTTAGTAATAGCTTGTAATAGTGATAATATGTCATGTTGTGTATGTAAGGAACTGTGTCTGCAAACCAAACTGCTGGCCCCCTCGTACTGTCCAGTAGCTGAGTTCCTGTCCAAAGCTCCACAACCTCCTGCTGGACATGCCATCAGGAGTGCTGTGCAGATGCTAAAGGTAACAAATACTAACAAATACTACATAATACTTCACTTGATTCTGATGTCAGACTCAGGCCACTATACACACAGACAAGCTTCGACATGAACACCTACACATCCACATACAGTTCCCAGCAATTCCAGCAACTCAAAGTCATTGAGTTTGTATTGATTCCCACTAACTTTCTCTTCAGACAATAGATGCTATGGACCAGTATGAAGACCTGACAGATCTGGGCTATCACCTGGCCGACCTGCCTGTGGAGCCCCACCTGGGCAAGATGGTGCTGTGTGCTGTGGTGCTCAAGTGTTTGGACCCCATTCTAACCATTGCCTGTACACTGGCCTATCGCGACCCCTTCGTCCTTCCTGCCCAGGGCTCTCAGAAAAAAGCTGCTCTACTCTGCCGCAAATGGTTTACCTCTAACACCCTCAGTGACCACATGGCCCTGCTGAGAGCCTTCCAGGTGGGGGTCAGAGAGTGTATTATAAGAAGAGCTTAATTTAAGTGGAGATGTAAGGCAATGCTCCTTACTTGGACCCCTAAGTGATCACAATAAATCAAAGAGCTCACAAAATTAATATCAAGTTAGGAAAGAAGAAAAGACATGTATCTACTCACCAAGGTAATTTTAGAAGATGTCTTTGTCATAACAACTTGACATTAACAAAAAAATGCACCTCTTTTTGTGTTTATGACAAGTTGATTAATGATTATTATAATTAGATGTGCAAGTCAAATTGTTATGACAAAGACGTCTTCTGGTAATGTCATCCTGGTAAATGTCAAGTTGTCATTATAAGGACATCCCAAACAAATTTAATGTCAAGTTGTCATGACAAAGACAACTTCTGGTAATGTCAAAATGATAAATGTCAAGTTGTCATAATAAAGACAACTCAAACAGTGTCAACTTGTCATTACAAAAACCGAATGACACTTAATTACAGCAGTCATAAACGTTTAAAACTGAGTAGCAGGTGGCACCTTGTATGGTAGCCTCGGCCACCAGTGTATGAATGTGTGTGTGAATGGGTGACTCGTAGTGTAAAAAGCGCTTTGAGTGGTCACTAGATGACTAGAAAGGCGCTATACAAATGCAGGTCCATTTACCATTATGACATGTACATAATGTTCATGACAGGTTCACGACCGTGTCACTCTTTTGTGATATGATATGATATGATACCTTCAAGTAAAGTGTTACCAATCAGACTTACCTGTTATGAGATAGCAGAGAAATTCAGGAGCTTGTTTAGGAAATCACATCATCATGAGTATCACTTTTTTTCCAAGTAGTTCTTTGAAGCTGCTTTGATTTATTCATTCCCTTCCCTTTTGAACAGAATGTATAGAAGTTCTCAGGAACACCGCTCAGCCTTGCAGACAGTTTTTTCCAGTGGCCACTTGCAGTATTGCAGCAAAATCCCCTGCGGCCCAAAAGCATTTTCCCAGTACACCACCTCTGTAAAAGAGACACTGTGTCCAAAATCAACTTTTTGACTGGCCAAGGGGCTGGTAGATAAAAAAATCCATCAGCCAAAATAATAAATTGCCTTTCTTCGTCACATATACATTTGTTAAAATGCATTTCATTGAGATAACAAGGTATTATGTTGAATACAGACTTAAAGAAGATGCCAGAGCAAAACAACTCATCACCATAGCCTCAGTATGTGAATAAGTTACCTCTGCTAAGCAGTGATGCAGTGTGTATGTCTAGGACTTAAATTGTGAAGATTAAGAAAGGAAGGATTGAGGCTTTAATGCATTGCCATTAACTATGTGCGAGGCAATAGTTTGCTGTCTTAGTTAAGTTTTTTTTTTTTTTTCTTTTTTTGAAATCACATGTCTGTATTGGTACAAACATATACCCGCCAGTGTGGTGATTCGCCTTTGGAGAAGTACTTGCTAAAAGGAAAATCTACCCACATTTGGTGCTTGGTGGGTGTTAATTTTGGATCCTGAAGAGACTCTGCAAAACTTTTGTCAGGACCCCTCAAACTGCAAGTAGATCAATTATGACTCTTTCTGTTATGAATTTTTGATCCATTGAGGTTTTAAATTTGTAAAACTTTCCATGAGCCAAGACAAGCATTTTAAAAATCCATGACGTCATTACAATGTAAAGTCTATGAGTTGAGAGGAAACCTGTGGGAGGGGCCAGCGGGAGAAACACTACTGTGCATATTCAGTAGCCTGCATACTGTGGAAGTAAACCAGGATGCTACAAACTTTTTTTGGTGTATGCGCCAGGCGAGCAACTCTATCTGAGAGTCTGGTGTCTAGGTATTATTATAAATCTATGCGTCAAATAGTAATTAATTTGGACAAACCAATCAAAACCAATAAAACAATAGGAAGGAATTTTCATGTCCTGATTTTAAAGAATTTTATTTTTATCAATGTAATGTGTGACAGTTTATCATGTCAGCAACTGTAGGATGTTTTCATTCATTTTGTCCTGTTTGCTGTCAGGCATGGCAGAAGGCCCGCAGTGACGGCTGGGAGAGAACCTTCTGTGAGAAGAACTTCCTGTCCCAGGCCACCATGGACATGATACTTGGAATGCGGACACAGCTGCTGGGACAGCTCCGTGCCATTGGTCAGTTCCGCTTTGATTTCCTTTATACTGTATTGTACACCCCACCAAGTATGTGTGGTACAGTATGACCTAATGTTACCACACTGCCTGTTATCTTTTATTTGTCTTTTGGTTTTATTAGTGTCATTAACATATTAATGTTAAAGCTGCAATAAAGTCCAACAGTCCCTCACAATAAATAAGTCCTGTTATATTAAATATGAAAATATGGAAGTGGCTGAAATTGTATTGGATTGGATCCAGAAGAAAACATCTGATCAGGACGTTTCTAATTTTAATAGTTTTTGGTGAATGAATGAATGAATAAACATTCAAAATGGCCTGTCTGTCCCCCAGGTTTTGTGCGAGCCCGTGGGGGCAGTGACATCCGCGATGTGAATCTGAACTCTGAAAACTGGGCTGTGGTGAAAGCAGCCCTGGTGGCTGGCATGTATCCAAACCTGGTCCATGTCAACCAGGAGTCCTCCTTGCTCTCTAGTAACAGGGAGAAGAAGGTCCACTTTCATCCCACATCAATCCTGACCCATTTCAAGGAGGTAGGACAACAAATCACGTCATGTCTAATTCCATCTTTACATTGTCGTCTTATCACTAGTGATCTTAACTTGCCTTTTGTTCACTGAGCACTGCCCAGAATGCTCAGGCCTTTTACAGGCCCTGCAGGATCCATGTCTGCATCAGTTATCACACACATTATGAACCCACATGTTGAAAAATATTTTTCTGCCCAGATAGAAAGGACACACATATAACCATTTCAGCATATATGTTTCATGTCCTTAGCTTTTTGAAAAATACAATTACACAAAGTTTTTTTCACCTCCCACATGGACAAAGAGAGGTGGGTGAAGTCATACAGAAAGCGATTTACCAACTGGAGGTGGCTTTGCTTGTTGTTTCTACGTTGCTACGTGCCTCACATTTTTTGTACCCTAGGCGCTTGGCGTTTTTACCAGAGCACTCTGAACTCCTCGAGTTTAAAAACTTCAAAAGTCATAAAACTTCCAGATAAACTTCAAAACTTCAAAAGTGGCCCATGTCATCTCCGCTTTTTCCCCATTGTCCAATCGGATGATTTGAGAGGCAAGCCTTCTGTGGTGGTCAAGACAACAAGTTTACAGTTGGTAAACAATGTGGTTAGTATTAATTTTTGTTAGGCTTGACCTGACGATAGACAGCAGGTTGTCAGACTGCCCCAGAGTCATCCTAAAATATGCCTGGAAATGGCCATCATGGAGGTGAAGCTCCCGGACCAACTGGTGATACTCCCTGTTATCCACCCTCTTTTTTAGGGTCTCATGTACCCACACAGATCTCTGTTTCCCTGTGCCCAACAAACTATTTGCTGACAGCCTCTAACCCTCAACCAGAACAATAGCAATTACCCTCTGCCTTTTTGGAACAGATGAGCAGCTGCGGCAGTCGGCTCATCTCACTGCGTTGCAGAATGTAGCATTTCGGGAGATCCTTTTTTTCCACAGCAATAAGACTGTTTAACACCTCCTGAATCCAGTCATACACACACACTTACACAAGTCGCATTAGCCACAAGTGGACTGGGCTATGGAATGGGTAATTTTATTTTATTTCATTTCTATTCATGCACTTTTAAATCAGCTGTGCGGAACATTTCGTTTTCGTTGATTATAGCGCCCCTTTGGTCGAAGTGGTATGACACCCACAGCCTGGTGTCGTAAAATTCCGACTGCAGCCGTCATAAAATCTCGACTGCAACCAGCAATTACCGCATGCATTTGTTTTGGAGAGCGAGAGGATTAACTAATGTCAGGTCAGTCCAAGTAAATAGTGGAAACAGCTAAATTACTCAGTAAATTCTCCTGTTGTGTTTCTGTTCTGATCTAATCTGTTGTGTATTTTGAGCTACTAAGGCTACCGTAGTAGTGTGAGCCTCAAGTTATTCTGGGTAATGTAGTAACCGTTGTTGTGCTACTGGAAACAATGAGAAGCAGCCATGGACGTTCAGTGTAAGGAGCAGTTAACAGTTAACAAGTCATCTGCTGAGTCTGCATTATTATGTGAAAAGAATACTCCGACGATGATCCATCCATGATGGATATCTTTTTTGTGTCTGTACGTCCAGTGGCTGGGTCTCTGAAAATGATAGAGAAAAGGCATAACTCCCAAATCGTCGGAGTATTCTTTTATGTGAAGATACACAGTGAAGACATAACATAATCCTAACACAGCAAAGCTCTTACCTGCAGCCTTCGCTTGCAAAGCTAACGCTACTAACGTTAGGTCAGTCCAAGTAATTAGTGGAAACATGCTAACATGCTAACTTACACACAAATTAGTGGTAAAGTAAGACCTGTTCATAAATGTTCTGGTGTAGCTCTGAATTTCTTATAAACTGAGGACAACTGCCTGCTGTATATTTGTGTTCATGGTCACAGTCACAGATAATTTTAGATGATGCTCCTGCGTTATCTCCCATGACATCAAAAGTACAACCAAGTCCTCATAGATACATCTCTGGTAAAACTGTTAGGTGTTATGTGTTCAGCAATGCCCGTTGCGTACTGCTTACTCGAAGAACATTGTAAACACGGCTCCTTCTTCTTCTGTGGTTTAATCGCTGTGGGCCGCTGCGGGCGAGCAGAATCACTTCCACCTCGGGTGCCGTATTCTGGTTTGCTGACTTCCGCTGTGTGTCCGACCCGGCTATGCTAAATAGCCATATAGAGAAAGGCTTTTTTGTCGCTGTTGGGTTCAAATAAATATGCGGATCTTCAAGGGGGGGTGATACGAACTAGGGACAGTTTTATTAATGGTAAAAAGTTCCACACAGCTGCTTTAACTATTATTTATTTATTTAGCGAATGCAAATTTCTCAAGCCAAGCAGTAACCTCTTGATCTATATTGTGGAGGGAGACTAGACCTCCTTTTAGTCTTTGGAGAGGGCAGGCTTCAATAATATGCTCCATGGTTTGCTCCTCTCCACAAGCACACAGTGGGCTCAGGCTGTACCCCCATCTGTGAAGGCTGGCAAAGCAGGGACCTTGATCAGTCCTAAATCTGTTCAAGGTGGACCACTGTCTCCGTGGGAGGTAGGTGCCAGGGACTGGTTGAGTCGGGTCTGACACTAGATGTTTGTTTGGGATGTCTTTAGATTCCCATTCAGTCACTCAGGCAGACAGGGCATCAAAGTCAGTGGGTGGGGGCTCCTTCAAATTGGACGTCTAGATCGGAGACGAGCTGGTGATGGGTTGAAGATGTCGGCGCGGTTTGGTAAATGGGGGGAGTCTTTGACCTTTTGGAGCATCCTATAGGTGAGTTCAGTTCATCTGATGTTGGGGGGGGGGGAGTATGTTAGATAGGGAGCCAGGGGAGCGCTGTTGAACGAATAGTCCCAGTTATGTTTTGCATTGTGGTGTTAATTCTCTGCTTTCAGGTTGAGAGCTGTGACTAGGATTCTCTGAGTTAGCTCTAGGGTGTCTTCTCTTGGAATTTAGTTTGCTAGTAGGATCATTTGCTTACCTAGGCATGCCCGGGTACTGACGCGGGGTGCGACATGGACGCTGATCCATTGCACCCCATTTTTTTTTTAACTTATTTTATTTTATGTCTATATACGATTGTGTTGATGTTTATGAGGGGGAGTGTGGTTGTTGTTTTTTGTCTTTTATGAACTGCTGGACAGCTGAATTTACCTTTGGGGATAAATAAAGTTCTTTCTATTCTATTCAACTCTAGCTACTAATTACTGTGAAATAAATAAAATAAAATAAAAAAATTAAATAAACAGTAGATTGACCACATGGGAAGGTTAGGGTAAGGAGGTATTGGGGTGGGTGCTTGCCAACAATAAAAAGGCGATAAAAAAGGTGTAGCAAGTGTTTTTCTTTACCAGTGATACTCAATTTAGGAAAAAAAAAACGGCAGTGCGGTGCGCCTTGTGATGTGCAACTTCCAAAATGTTTTCTTAGGCTGCCTTTACACTACCATGTCTTGATGCCCAATTCTGATTTGTTGCCTATATCTGATTTTTCCTGACTGCTGTTCATGTTCTATTCACCTTATTTTTCACGGAGACACGGAGGCAAAACAGAACGCAGCCAGCTTCCGGTTTTTTGTGCGACACTTACGGTCCAGCACTCTTACCACTGTGTAAATGTCCCACGGTATTTGCTACAGTGACATTACTGCGCGCATGGAAAAGTTTACATTACTGAAAGCAATTTTAAGGACTAACTTTAAATATTTGAAGTTAATCGTTAAAGAATAAATCACCTGGAAAGCTGGCACTGCTCCACATAATTTAAAAGGTAACTTAGCCTACACAGAGCAGTGGAAATGTCCATGCAGCTGCAGACGGGTGCGGCTGGATGATTGATAGGTACATGCTGATTCGGGTGCTATCAGAGCCGATCCGCGCATCACTATGGCTTAATGATCAACTCAGTCAATTAAAACAACCCGTCCTGTGTTAGGAGTGTATATCGCTGACAGAAAGAAAGAAAGAAAAGGGAAAAAAGATAGAAAAGCAGCGTACACCTCACATATTTATTTCTCACAGGTGCGCACACGTGTGGCTGGCATGCAGAAGCACCGTCTGTGTGTCTGTGTGTCGAGGGTGTGAGCCGCAGCTTCAGCTGCTCAGGTAGAGAGGCTGTGTAGCCCGCTGTGTTTTTTCACTGATTCGGTTCTGCAGGTTCTCTGCTGGTACACTGGAGACGGGGATCAAGCAGTTTGTCTCACTCGGGATAGATTGTGCTTTTTTGGTTCATAGTTTATGATTGACGTGCAATTTATTCGGCTTTCCTTCCTTTCCCTCGCTCATGAGCACGTCATCAAAATGCGCTGTCGTCGCATTATTCATGACGTAC